TGGATATTGGTGTTTTTAACGAATTCTTCCCTGGCATCGTTTGGGGGAGCTTTTTAGGATGACTACACCTTCATTTACATAACTTCAGTACAAACCAAAGATTTCAGCCCTACACCAACCCACAGGCCAAAGGCCAAATGTTTTAAACCCACCAGGGTTTTTGTAGTGAGCACCCCAAATCTGGGCCTGGTGGTCAGAAGGAGGTGATGAGCAGGTTGTGCCAGGGTCCCAGGGAGAGCAGAGGGTTGGCGGGCCAGGATGTAGCCCCATGCAAACTGTGTTGGTTTTGGGTCCATGTGCTCACGCCTGTTTTTTGATGCGGTATTTCAGCAGGGATTCGGGGAGGGAGACCTTGGTATCTCCAAGTTGCAAGCCAGGCTGAGCATTTTCATGAGAGGGACAGCGTCATGAGCAGTGATAGGATTTCCATCCTCTCATTGCAGCTCCTTTTTATTTTTTTCCCTGTAATAGACCTTTTATAATGATGGAGAAGTTGTGGGATGAACAGAAAGTCATCAAGGGGTAGGCAGGAACAAAGTGTCTTGCAAAGGTACGGTCTTTCAATGAAGGTAAAAATTTAGATTGCTTGCAGATAGAAATAGTTACTCAGCGAGTGCTATATCTTAGAAATGTCTGTTTAAAAATAAATAAATGAATAAAAGGATTAGACTAGATCACGCGGCAAGGCTATGGAATCTCCATCAGTGGAAGTATTAAGAGCAGGGTCTGAGAGCAGGTCCTGCTTTGGCTGTGATGAGCAGTGCCCTGGCTGCAAAGCCCTGGTATGGTGTTACAGGGTGCATGCAGCATCCTGCAGCACCCTTGAGCAAACTCAGGACTTGGGGAGCCATGCTGTGACTGAGAGCATCACCTTTGAAGGGTGGCTCGGGAGCAGTTTTCAGTATTGCTTGGGCACAGGGAAGATTCCTCTCAGCAGCTCTTGAAGCAGTGATGGGAAGTGTAGAGCCCTGTTGTACTTTGGGGTCTCTGGGATTCCTTTCTGGGTTTTCAAGGTTGTGGGAGAGAGGGGATCTCTTTCCTCTGTGCTAGATGGAAAGACTTCTGCTGGGTGAGCTCCTGTGTCACGTGGGAAGGGTTTTGTCCTTCCTTTAGGTTGCATTTTATCATCTGGTTTCTGACACCCCATCTCTGAGCCGAGGCGGAGTAAGCAAATTTGGAAAGAAGTGAAGAACTAATGGATCAAACCAGCTGCTGGCATTTTATAGGGCTCCTTTCTCAGTGCTGGGGTGCTCTCTGTGAGATGAGATGCTCTTCTTTCGGGTTGCATCTGAATCTCTCTCACTTTCATTCCCACTGTCTCTGGTTCATGGATCACTGCGCTGGCATGTGCACCCATCCGTCCATCCATCCCTCCCACCTGTGGGTGCCTCTGCCTCCATCCCCATCTGTCTGTGCTCGTCTTCTCCTTCTGGCAGGCAGCAGCCTCCTGGATTTACCGACATGCATGTTTGGGGAGGTTCTCCCCAGTTTTCAGACCAGGGAACCTGCACTAGAAGCAGAACAGGAGGAGGCGGGGTTTGCTCCTCACCCTGGTCCTCTGAGTGCCTGCTGCCCAGCTCCCATGGGAGCCAGCTCCCAGGAGCCCTCCATGCCTCCCTTCGTGACTGGGGGTTTGTCTGCCCAGGCGTTTTGGCAAAGGCAATCCCATGATCCGTGTCATGCTGGCAGTGTCCGTCTCTTGCTCCACAATCTGTTCCCATATTTATATGTCCGGGGGATGGGCCTAGTGGCATCCTCTAAAACTGCATCTGTTTATTCTGTAAACTAAAGAACTGTAAATAAAGTTTAGCATTCCTATTGTAACAAATTAATTTTTATGCAATAAATTATATTTCCTAGTCTAATAAAAAAACCCAAAAACCACAAAACCCAATCTGCTCACTTCTCTTGTGTTCATCACTCATGAGTTCCTGCTGGGTTTGGCATCTCCAGGGATTTGGATTCAGCTTGAGCAGCAGCTTCAGCATAGGGATCTCTGTGAGCATCCCTTCAACCTGTTTTTGGGTCAGACGCTGCAGGCGTGCCAGTGCCAAAAGCAGAGGATGTTGCTGTCAGAGTCCCTAATAGAGGTAAGCTGTAGCAATTGATTTATGGTTTGTTTTTGCCTCGCATGGGTGATTACAAGGCAGGGACTAGTGCTACAACCATGTCTTATGGGCTAGAGCACCATCTCAAGCAGTTCATTTTCTTCCTTGTGGGATATCCTGCAGAAAGCAATGTCCCTTCCAGCAAGAACTAGGACCAGGGTGCCTAGTTTGAGAGGGGGAAACAGTACGGAGCTGCGGTCTGTAACTTGGGCATCTTGTCCTCCAAACTCTGCCTTGATCCTCTGCCTCCTTGCCTTGCCCCATCCCCTCCTTTGGGACCACCTCTGCCACGCTGCTTCCCTGCCTTAGTTCCATCACACTGTCTCTGCCAGAGGAAGCAAAGCCAGAAGGGTTTGCAGGGAGAGGTGAGGGCTTGCTGCCCCTGCCCACTCTGCCTGGGCCACTCGCCTCACTCAGCTTGTGGGGACAAGGTGCCACCAGGAGATGACAATGTTTTTCCTACTCCAGGTAGGTGTGGGTATTCTGCAACCAGTGAAAGAAATAGGGAGGAGGTTGCTGCCCTGTCATGGCAGCCATTGTACCAGAGCCATGCAAAGATGCAGAACCCTCCCAGCTGGGCTTTCCAGCTCTAAATACAATGCTGAGGCAGATACTTTCTCAGAAGTAATAACTTTTTCTTCTGTTCAAATCTTAGTTCATTTAACCTCCATCTTCCAAGTTGCTCTCACTGGGCACCTTTTACACCCATCTTTCCGAGGGCCCAATCTGTGGGTAACTTTGACCAACTGGTGCCTGATTTCATCTCCTATTGAAATACACAGCTTTCTAATTCCTCATAAAATTAAGCTGGCCCTAGTCTTCTCTGCAGTCGACATACTGAATTCAGCCCCCACGACAGGTTCGTAAGTGACTGCCATGCCATCACTAAGTGCTGACAGATTTATTCTGCTGGATGCCTGGGAACACTGGAGCAGCCCACACCAGGGTCTCTTGAATTTCCTATTGCATGTTCAGGAAATTTCCTTTAGGCCAGTCCCACTGGCTTTTACAATTCAGCTATGCCATGAGCTGCTCCATACAAGTGTTGAGCTGTACCAAGCAGTGGGGGGACCTTCTCTATAAGTCCCACTTAACAAATTCCAATCACTTAACCATTCCTTACATGCCCTTTGCTCCATTACACCTCCAGCATGGTGAGGGCAAGCAGTGCTATGGGATGCCTGGTAGTCCTTTGGGATAATTGTGAAACCTTCCCTGCTCCTTCACAGCTTGCCTTGACTCCAGGCCAGCGCAGGACCTGTGTGTGGGGTTGGGGTGGAGGGGAAACAGCCCAAACCCTGCTTTGGGCACAGGAGTGTCCCTAAAATCTGCAGCAAGTGCAAGTGGAGGTCTGTGCTGCAGAGGGTCTCTCAAGTAGTACTGACTCGGGGGGCTTCTCATGGCTTCAGTTAAATGTGAACTGTCTTTGTTTCCCCTACTCAGCTGTCATGGTCTCTTGTGTTGATTTGATCTGAGGCTGTTCTCCAGCAGTGGGTTTTTTGACATGATAGACAGCATCAGGTCAGAAATATCAGGCGAATCTCTCTGAGCTGATGAGTTACTGACTCGGATAGGCTGTGCCATCTCCTCAGGTGCTTTCCCAGACTAGCATGTCAATGCAAATGAAAATCCCAAGCAGAAACCTCTGGAGGGAAACCCATGTGCTCCTCTCATGCCTTTCCATTTCAGCACATTGCCAGTGGGTTGGTCGTGGGCTTCTGCTTGTTTTGCTCACAAAAGAACTAAATAAAATAGAGCATGCATATATCTGGGGCTATTTTGACATCTGCGTGTCCTGGGCTGTCTGGTGTGTTCTCCTTGAAGGCTCAACGAGGCTGGAGATGGGTGGAGGCTGGCCCTGGCTCCCAGGCGGTGGCCAGCTTTGTGTGCACTGGTGCTGCTGGGAGGTGAGGTATCTGGGTTGGTCTGCATTTGTCCCATAGGCAGTTGTACATGCTAAAACAATACAGACTAGACCATCTTGGGGCCTTCTGCAAAAAACAGGGACTATTTAGCTTCGGCGAAGAGAAGCTGGATATGTGTGCAATGGAGGAAAAAGCATTATCTTAGAGCAGACAGGAAGGCTAAAGGTAAACAGTTAGCAACATGAAACCTAGATATAAAACTCCACTAATTGCCAACACAAGTGCAAACAAATTGTCGAAGCACATCTGGTTGTAACGGGGCTGCAGAAAAGCTGGGGTCCCACCAGTTTATAATTTTCCTATGTAGCTGCCCACCTGCCAAGGAGCCAAACCCATCTTTGGGGAAGGAATACGGGAATGAAGAGTGGGGGAGAGGAAAAAGGCTAATGAAGTTTTCCTTCACAGTTCCATGATGCCCTGAAGGTGAGTGTTCAAGTGTCATTCAGAGGAAGCTGAGGACTTTACAGTGAAATTCATCCTAATGGGCCATTGCAGGAAGTGGTCAGTGCAGGAAGGTAAGCAGCATCTCGTTCTACGGAAGAATTCCTCATTCCCCACCCTCACATCCTCAGGAGGGGATGATGCACGCGTGCTTTGGTGACTTCCACCAAAAAACAAGTCCTGACAAGTGTTCCTATTGCTACGCCACAAGCTAGGCCGTGATTAACACTGATTTTAACAGAGCGTTTCTAATCTAAACCCGGGGGGGGGCGGGGGGCAGTGCTTCTTGCCGTGCACCTGCAAGAAGTGAAACAGAGTAAAAGACTGTTTTAAAACATGGGGAAAAAGGGGGAGTGGACAAAAAAACTAAAGGGGAGAGTTAGTGGCAACTGCGCCTGGGTACCGCCGGGCTGCACCGCCCTCGCATCCCGTCCTCCCTCCACCGCGCCGTGCAGCACCGCCCGCGGGGCCGGGCCGGGCTGGGGCTACCCCACCTCCGGCGGGGCGGAGCGGGGCTGTCCGGCCCGGCTTGACCCGTGTCCGCTTGGCTCGGAGGGAAAGGAGCCGGCGGGGCCGTGCGGTGCCCCTGTAAGTGCTGCGGCGGGGGGGTCCCGGGTGCGCAGGGAGGGATGGGATGGTAGCTGGCTGGCTGGGTGCGCGGAGGGATGCGGCGCTTCCTCCTCGTGAAATCGAACGCGCTTTGCAAAACCCCTCATTTCCGGCGTTATTCTCTTCCCCTGCACTTGCCTCAGCCCGTGCCGCGGCGCCGCTCTGCAGAGCCTGGCGGTGCTGTAGTCGTTTACGAGTCAGTTTGTACAGCCCGGCATTGCTGCGGGAGTTCATGGTAGTTTACGCTCGCCTTGCAAAGCCTGCTGGCGTTGCGTCAGTTCACAAGTCGTTTCCCAAAGCCCGGTGGTGGTGTGGTAGTTTATGAGTCATTTTACAAAGCCTTGATGATGTTGTATTAGTTTACAAGCCGGTCTGCAGAGCCTGGTGGTGGTGCATTAGTTTACAAGTCATTTTTCGAAAGCCTGATGGTGTTATTGCAGTTCGTGCGTTTCCCTGCACACCCCCATGGCGTTGGTAGTTTACAAGCTAAATCGTTTTGGAGCCCTGCACGAGCTGAGGTTTCCTGCTTTTGCAAGGCTGAAGGGATTGGTTAATTATTAATTATGGATGGCAACATGGGTGCTGTGGTGGCAGTGCCAGTCTCTGCCATGGCTTAGTTGACTTCTCCTGTATCTCCCAGGGGACCAAACATCCTTGTGCTAAGCTGGTTCAGCGCGCTCATCCAGCATTTGCTGGGTGATCACAGGCCAAAGGAGGAGGGAACCGCACACAGCAGCTTGCAGGCAACAGTTTGCAACCGTCATGGGTAATATCTCTACTGGTGGTTGTTTTCTGCAGCGTGCCAGCACTATGCACCCCGATGAGGAGCCCCTGACAGAGGAGCCTCTGTTGGGCGGATGCAGCCAACAAAAGCCAAGCGACCGCTTACATGGGGCCTATGTTATTTTTTTCCTCTTGGGCGTTGGGTCACTGCTGCCCTGGAATTTTTTCATCACAGCAAAGCACTACTGGATGTACAAGCTGCAAAACTGCTCGGATCGGGCAGGCCCCGTGGGACAGCAGGCATCAGATATGCAGGTGAGTATGCGGCTTCCAAGGCCTTGAAAGAAGCTCACCTCCTTCCCAACTTGCTCTTTTTCCCCTTCCATTTTCCCAGAAGGTGAGTGAACGACCTCTGGGGTTTTGCCTGCTGCAAACCAGGGGTAGAAGTGTATCTGGGGAGAACAAGATAGATGCTTAAAACCAAAAAGCGTAGCACGTTGTTCTATCTTTTCCCTGTATTTGAAGTGCTAAGTTTAAGGTGCATTTAAAAAATCTAGGTTAACCTGCGCCTTAAGCGAGGCTGCCTTTCATAGGACGGTTTCTATGGTGCAAGGTAAAAATCTTTCTGTTGTTTTTCTATCTATCCTTCACGCTTGGTGAGCGCCCAAGCCCCATGGGGCTCTGTGCTTCCCCAGTGGACTCAGCTGCAACTCCCTGCAGGCTGGGAGATGAACTGCTGTTAGCTTCTGGCCCAGTGGCAAGGCATCAAGCATGCTTCAGGCGGTTTCTCCCTTGCTCTGTAATTTATTAGAAACAGCAGCAGGGCTTTGCAGGAACACCAGCCCTGGACCACATGGCTTGTGATAGTCTCAGGCGCCCTGGATGCTTTACTGCTTTTCCTTCAAGATCTGGCACATGTGACTGGGGTATTTCCTGCAGTGATAAACATCTGGCTTCTGACATATGGGATGAGGAGCTTGTCATGGGGTGACTGATGAGCTGGCCTTGGGGTGGCAGGCTTGATGGCCTCTTATTTCTCCCCCCAAAAGCTGCCTTTTCTTGCTCCTGCTGCCATGGCAGGATTATTTCCGTGTGCCCCCCTGACAAAGCAATGGTATTTCTTTGGGGCTGGAAAAAGTATTGGCATGATGAGGCTGCATCGTGTCCTCTTTCTGTTGCCAAGCTTGTTCAAGTGGTTTGGGCACATTTTATTTGTATGTAAACACAGAGCCAGGTGTGATGCCCAGGTTTTCTCTATGATTTCTTAATATGGCATCCACGGCTGTTTTTATTTTAATAGTTGTTAAGCCAGCTGTGTTTTTGATGGGGAGGAAGCAGAGTGTCACCAGTGGTACTTGTACCAGGACGCTGAAGTACCAGGGTGCTGGTATAAATTGAGATACCAGGTGGATGAAACTGATGGAGAACAAGTGCCTGTGGTGCCCAAAGACCATAAATAGACTGTCCCTGTGCTAGCAAGGGTGCTCAAAAAGGGGATGAAGGGTGCTCTGCCACCACGTGGCATGATGTCCTCCCACAGTCCCTGCATCCCACCCACTCCTCATTGCGTCTACATCATGCTTATGTGAGGCAATTCTCGAAGAACTGGTTTCAAGTAGAGTAAGTATCACAAGGTGTATTCTTCCTAAAATCTCTTGCACAGCTATATTCCTGGTCAGATAATCACTTCAGAAAGTGTTCAAAGGATACTACTTCGCTGAACAGATGTTCCTCGTCTTTCTGTATGGCCACGGTGCAATGTTTTTACTTCTCTGGAGACAAGCAACCTGGCTTTTCCATGGCAGTCAAGTCTATCAAAAGCAAATCAATTGGCCCCTGGGATGGCGAGCCACGGTGCTGCGGCAGGAGGGCTTACCTGCAAACCGAGCTCAACTCTGGAAAGACGCGCTTGTGACTGGCAGCCTGCTTTTGGCTCCAGCCTGCTCGCTGCTGCTAATTTCATGCCCTGTGCTCCAGGTAACGCTCCGGTGCCTTCAGCCACCACCATGGGCCTGGATTGCTTTCCCAGCCTGGCAAGAGCCCAGCTGCTGAGTCTGGGCTAGAGCAGAGTAAAAACTACCTTGCAAAAGCACCTTGACAGCAGTGGGCAGTGCTGGCCACCACTGATGACTAATTTACCACTGCAGTGCTTTGTTCTTGTTAGTGTTTTCCTTCAAGGTACCAAGTGCACGGCGTGCATCGTGGCATGTGTTTGAAGCTGCTATAGTTAATATAGGATCAAACACTTCCACTATGTGCCTCGGCTCCATGCCTGAGGTGTGTATGACACCTTTACCCATAAGAAGCAGAGGTGGCAGGAAGGCAGCTTTGGACAAGGAGGAAGATGTCAGGTTGGCTTTCTGGATTATCATTTGTCATTAGCTAGGAAAGCTGTGATAGTCTTTCGGTGTTTGTGTTTCCCCTCTAAAACCATGGTGGCCATAAGGAGCTCGGCCCTTGTGAGCAAGGGATGCCCAGAGGAGAGGAGCTGGCCAGTCAGGGAGGGCTCAGCAGAAAGAAGAACTAGGTATATCTTGCATAGCCAACAGTTTGCTCTGAAAGCACGTCTGTGACGGGTGGAAATAACCATGTAGGAAGAAGAGTTACCATTTGAGCTGGAGTAACACCTAATGAGCAAGAGCAAAGAGGTGAGATAGGTATGGCGCCTGATACTTTCCATTGCTCTGGTCATGGATTAAATTTGCCACTGCATTCTGCTGCTACATTAAAAATGTGGTGCAAGGACTTTCCTTCTTCACAAAAATAATGTAGTTGAAACCCTTCTACTTGGCTTTTCTTTTCCAGCAAGGTTTGATTGTAACTAAGGCAGCATAAAATTTCCCAGTGCAATGCAAGCTCCTCAGTTTCTTAACTACTTCACCAGTTCTCTTCCCAACACTGATGTGAGCACATTTGCTGGGAATGAATGAAGGTCTCCCCAGGGGTGCTTGAAATGCAGCATCTCTGCCAGATTACTTCATGTACACTTCTGCTTTGTGGAAACATTATAAAGTCTTTTTTCATCCTCAAAAGAAAATTAGCTAGGATGTATATTTAATATCCCTAGGCTGGTTTGGTGGTTTGTTTTGAGTAGGTTGGTAAATAAGTAATAGTTTTAACTGCCAACTTTGCGTTTTGCTTTGGTTTTTTTCTTGTAATTCACTGTATGGCCGAAGACCTTTGAGCCTCCTGCTTTGCCAAACTGGTGCTGTTAAGTGCAGGCATTTATGTCTCTGTCTATATGGACCCTCTAGGAGTGATTATTAGATTTCTCATTGCTTACAGTAAAGCTCCTCATAGGGAAGAATAAATTAACGTGATTGTAAACTGATAAAATTACTACAGTGCAAAGCTGAAAAAAGAGAGTTACATGAAGAGAAAATGTGCCAAGTGCCTTCTTATGCTCAGATGTGTTGTGGCCCCTTCTCTGTAGCTAGGAAACTGTAAATGTAAACCCATTGCAGTGGGGGTGAATATGTAGGTCACCCTCTTTGCAAGCATTGCCCTATCTGCTGGTTGAGATTCCTGCAGAAAAAAAACCAAGGAGATTTAGCACCTCAAGGGAGATGATGGAGCAGACATGCTTTAACAGCATAATACATAAAATGGACAGAAAATATAAGCATTTGGCTGCAATTTTGGCAAAGAAATCTCTCTCTCTCTGCTGTGGTTATTGCTTTCTGTGTGCCCGGCCTGACCTCTGTGCGAGGTGAGCTGGTGAATATAGACTGATGCTACAGCCAGCTTGCTCAAATGATACACGAGTCCCTGGAATAAATGTGTTGAGTCTCAATATAGTTCTTCAATGAGTTTTATGCACACAGAGAGGGAGACTGGGTGTGAAAATAATGTCCTTGTATCCCCACTTGGGCTGCTTTTGCTCGAGCATGTTCTCAGTCATGGTGTCCTGGTCACGCTGTGTGGAGAGAGATGCACAGGTTTGCTAGCCATTGCGGACTTTCAAAGCAGTTAGCTAAAAGTATTAAAGGTATTGTGTCCTGATTTATAGCAAACAGCCCTCACAGAGAATAGGATAAAATGTTCATGAGGTTTGTCCAGGATGCGGTACCCAGCAGGAGAAATTCAGACGCCCACATTTTTGGTGCTGTCCCATGTGGGCAGTGCGACAGTAAGACAGGTATTTCCTTCACCATTTTTGCTTCTGAATTTATGTCTCTAATTTCCTGAAATATTCCAGGGCTCTATGGCTGTTGCAGGATGAAAAAGCCCTGGGGGCCACTTCCTGCTGTTGGCCTGAGCAGTTTTGCAGCATGTGCTAAAATGCAGGAAGGGGGACACCTGCATCATAACCCCTCATGCTGTATTTAGGAACTGAAATTCATGTGTTGTTCTCCCACACCTTGTTTGTTTGGGTTTGGGTTTTGGTTGGTTGGTTGGTTGATTTTGTTTTGTTTTCCTGGCAGGACTTTTTTGAGAGCTACATCTCCATTGCTTCAACTGTGCCCTCGGTGCTGTGCCTGATCGGAAACTTCTTGCTTATCAACAAGTAAGTGCTGCTGCATTCCAAGGTCAGGCGTTACCTGTGGCTCTCCCCAGCTTTGCCTGTGTTGCTCCTGCCTTTCTGTGGCTTCAGCTGTGGCTCCCAGCTCAGCTTCCCCTTCCCTTGTGAAGGGAAGCTTTGGAGTACACAGGGCATCATGAGGGCAGCCTTCTTTGTGGCCAAAATCTCCTCATCTGTCTGCCTGAATCACAGCCAGCTGAGATGAAGCAGGGTGAAGCACTGTGCACTGTACCAGCAGCACCCATGCTTGGGGTTGTTTTGAGTTACACCACTGTAAATATATTTATAATAAATTCCTTGGTTAATTGTTTGGCAAATGTTCTTTCATCTTCAAACTGCCGTCATGTTCATCAGGGGACTGGCTAAGGGCTGCTGAGCTCACCCAGGCCAGGAGTAACACCTTGCTCTAGTCCTACCAGTTACTGCACTGATTTAAGAAGTGGATCATCTGTGCCACATCGCAAGCTTAACTTCTGTCTAACACAGCTGTATCCCTTTGTTTGTATCCTTCTTTATCCCAGATCAAGTTCCTGCACATTTGTGGGCAAAGGGCAATGTGTTTGTGTGCTCAGTCTCTAGATCTCAGCTACTGGTCCAGCTCCTTGCCTCTCTCCCTTTCCCTTTCTCCTCTCTCCTGCCCCCAGGCCAGCCCATCCAGTCTCCTGGCTAGGTGATAAGCAACTTTCTTGCTCAAACAAGTAATTATCTTGTAGCCATGCCTGGGATTGCTTTCACCCAGCCTGCTGTGTTTCCCAGGCAGGCTTTATCGCTGCTGCTGTACATTGCTCCAGTGATGGAGACAGGCGCTAATTTCTGGGAGAAATGGCTATGTACAGCTCAGCTGGGCTTATAGACTTAGTCTTGCTGATAGCAAAAGTGTTGACATCTAAAGGCTTCTGAGAAAAATAATTACTTTTTATTCCTCATCTCCCCTCACTTTTCTTTGATCGTTCTCACAGCAGAGGGGTTGGTGTCCTCTCATCACACCTTCACATTATAGTTTGAAACACAGGAGTGTCACTGTCCCCTTGTCCCCAGGGTGCCCGCCAGTGTCCGGATCCTGTCCTCCCTCTTTGTCATGCTGGCTGTCTTCCTGGTGATCACGGTGCTGGTGAAGGTCGACACCTCTGCCTGGACCACCCGCTTCTTTGCCCTCACTATCGGCTGTGTGGCCATCGTCAGTAGTGCCTCGACTGTCTTCACCAGCAGCATCTTTGGTCTGAGCAGCTGCTTCCCCATGAGGAACTTGCAAGCGCTGATCTCAGGTTATTGTCCCTCGGCCACGCCGTCCTGGTGGGATTCTGCTCTTTCACAATCCTATGGCTGGGTAGTTGGTTTTCTTTCTCTCCTGCATCTGGTGTTTTGTCACATGGGGTTTATTTTAGAAACATAACTTTGCCTTAAGGATAAAGGGAAGTTGCTGAGGAAGAAACATACTCAATCACATGAGCTGGTGCTTTTGTTTCTGTAAATACCCATAAACCAAAGTGCTGAGGGCTCATCAGAGAGAGGAGAGCAGCGGTCCTTCACCATGCCTGCCTGGGGGTTGAACACCCTGCAGCCTGCATGACAGCTTGACCTCATTATTTGTTCTGTGCAGGGAGAAGGGAGGAAGGAGTTGGAGGAATCATCGACTTTGCATTGTCTCCTCCTTTCTGTTCAGCATTTCCATGTGTTTCCATCAGTGATGAGAGACATATTGGGAGCTGTGAGTGATGAGCTCCCTGGAGGTTCGATAACATTATAAATGTGCTGCAGAATGGCTGGCGAACTAAGATGGGAAGGGGGAAAACATCAAACTGGAGGAGTTTTCCTGGGGCCAAGACAGGAGTGTTTTAATGAGTGTAGCCCAGTGGGGGAAGTCACTGCATCCCCAAGATGGTGTACCTGTTGCTGGTGGCTTGAACTCCTGACTGGGGGAATGTTTAAGAGGTGTTTATATGTGTGCTGGTGGAAGGCAAGGTTTAGGCTGTGGGCAGGGTTTGGACTTTCTCTGCAGGACTCAGCACATGCAAGCCCAGCAGGTTGGGTCCCATCCTGACCCCTGTGTACTGCCATGTTTGCGTTGAAAGGGGATGCAGGATGGGACCTTGGCTGCGATGTAGTGCCACAAATAACTGTGTTGCAGCAAGGTATGGAAATTGAAACAAGGTGGTATGTGCAGCTGCACCCTGAGCTGGGTTTGGGACCAGCATGTGGGCAGGGGTTGAGCTGCTTTTCCTGAGGGGTTTGTGCATACCAGGAGGTATTAATAAGAGGATGCTGCTGTGTCTCTCATTTTTCCCTCTGCATTTAAGTCCTCCTTACTGGAGGTGCTGTGGGTTGCTCACTGCCACCTCCATGGCTCCCAGATGTACTCACCTCAGTCAGGCTGGCTCAGTTATAGGCACTGAGTTCCAGTTCTCTGATCTCTCACACAGGTCAGGCCATGGGTGGCACCATCAGCGCCGTTGCCTCTCTGATAGACCTGGCTGCAGCAGCCAATGTTACTGACAGCGCCCTGGCCTACTTCCTCACCGCTGACATCTTCATCGTCTTCTGCATCATGATGTACCTCCTCCTTCCCAGGTTGGAGTACTCCAGGTGTGTGCACCTGCCTGCCGTGGGCATCCCACATCTCATGGTCTGAGAGGGTTTACGACTGTCAATGCCAAGCAGGGCTGCTGGGGGCACCCATGGGATACCTGCTGCACCAGTCTCTGCCCCGTCGCCCCCCAGTATCCCATCCTGCATCCTGAATGCTTCAGCTCCAGCGCTGTGCTGTATCAGCCACACTTCCGCATTTGACCGAAACCACAGACTGAAACTGGGCATCTGGCCCAGCATGTGCTGAGTTTCTGGCAAGCTTCACTGGGGGATAGAGGGTGCTGATGCGGGGGCTTCTGAAATGCAAGAAGTCAGCAGAGAGTCATAGACTGGAAGCAGACAGCTAGGTGGGTTCCTGTAGGGCATCTGTATCTACAACATCATGCAGCATCATGATGTGCGTGACCTGTTGGTCTTGTTTATGCGTGCAACCCCTGAAGCCACCTGCCCCCCTCAAATGCCTGCTACAGTGGGTCATCTTTGTGAACTACTGAGGGTGGAAAGGGATACCACAGTGGGGAAGAGGGGGTGGTGGATCCCTGAGTGTCACCTACCCTTACAAGGTGAGAGCTGGATGTGTGATAGGGGTCACTGCAACTACCTTCACTGGGTCCAGCAGACATCCCTGCATAGCCAGCTTCTCTCCAGCTCCCTCCAAATCTGTTTGTGTTCCTCCCACATGCACTTGGCTAATAATCTTCTTCCTTCTCTTTCTCCAGGTATTACATGAGCAGCCAGGAGGAGAGCCCTTCTCTGGCCACTGTGCCACCTGACAGCTCTACGGAAGACGAGGCAGAGCCAGAAGGCACCACAAGTACCTCCTTCACTGCAAAAAGCACAGGCATCCCACCGCTCCGCCCCATCCTGAAGAAGACCGCTCTCCTTGGCTTCTGCCTCTTCTACATCTTCTTCATCTCCATCATCATCTTCCCTTCTCTCTCATCTAACATCGAGTCGGTCAGCAAGTCTTCGGGAAGCCCATGGAGCACTAAATACTTTGCTCCGCTCACCAGTTTCCTCCTGTACAACTTTGCTGACTGGTGTGGGAGGCAGATCACTGCCTGGATCCAGATGCCTGGTCCCAAGAGCAAGCTGCTGCCTACCCTTGTCCTCCTCAGGACCATCTTCCTCCCTCTTTTTATCCTCAGCAACTACCAGCCCCGGGCTCAGATCCAGATGGTGGTCTTCAACCAAGATGTTTACCCAGTGGTCTTCACAGCGCTGTTGGGGCTGAGCAATGGCTACCTGGGGACACTGGTCATCATCTATGGCCCCAAGATAGTGCCAAAAGAGCTGGCTGAGGCGGCAGGGGTGGTGATGACATTTTACCTCATGTTGGGGCTGGCTGTGGGGTCTGCCTTCTCTGTTCTCATTGTCCACCTCATTTAGAGGAGCAGCTGGGGGGAATGCCCTCGGTTTGTGGTAATGTTGTCGGGTATTTAGGACTTTTTCCCCCAAAAGCCAGGCCCGCCACTCTGCCTGTCTTGCTGAGGGGAAGAAGGGGTTTGCATCCAAGAGGAAAGTCCTCCTTCTGGGAAGGGGTGTCCTCTGTGCCTGGGAGGTACTGTCAGACATTTGTCATTCTCCATCTTGACTGGAGCAAATGGACCAAAAAAGCCTTGTCCTCCCCAAGGAGCTCAGGGAAGCATGGGGGCCACAGGGAAACCTGGCCCTCGCCCCAGTGCCAGTGAGTAAGGGTGGCTAGGTGGTGCCGCCACTCTGGTTTTCAACTGAAACCAAGGCTTTTGATGGCACCTTGGGAATTGCTGCCTTACTGTTTTGAGTTTACCCCTGCAGTGTTTTGATGATCTCAGGGGGATCCCCCTTCATCAAACTCGGGTGCTGAACTAAAGGGAATTTGAGCCCTGGAGCACCTTCAAGGAAGCTTTGAGGGCAGATAGCAGCCACACCAGGGAGCAGGGAACAGTTTCAGGTGTATTTATTTCATACATTCATGCCACAAACGAAGCATATGTAAGGGAAACCTTTCCATTTGGACTTGTGCTTGCTTTAATTTTTTAAGATTGAATTGAGGGATCATCCATTCCCAGCACAGTGCCAGTAGTGCCAGGGCTGTGTGTCATGGCCAACCCAAGATCATTTCTTCAGCTGTGACTGTGGTGTGATGCTTGTGAACACCAACTTACCTGTCAGCAGCTGAATCCCAAGGAAAGCGAAATGGTAAGTGGCCCTAACCCAAGGTTTCTAAGGTGCCTTTAGTCTGCGTTGAGAAAGGTCTGTAAAAGCCAGGGAGAAGTATTAGGCGTTGATGTGATGTTCACAGCAGAAAGCCGATCAATTTACTTAGGTGGTGTATGGTCTTCAGATGTTTTCAGAGGGGTGAGCTACTGTGACACTCAAAAATATGCCCCACACAAAGAGAGCTGGCTTCTAAAGTAACTTCCATGCAAAACACCTGGACAATTATTGTATTTATTTTCTCAAATGGTGTAGATTTGTGGTCTAGGAGAGGTGAAGTGGGAAGCAAGGATGTAATGGCATAACTTGGCATTGCAGATGATGCCTCAGGGATGCTATCTATGGAAAATACTTCCTTTAAGACTGGGTTATTAGCAGATGTTCTGTTAATGGGATGCTCTCAGCATCTTCTGCTTGACAGAATAGCAGTGAAGCTGCTGGTCTGAGTTGCCAGGCTGTCTCTATGCTGTGCTGGATGTGATAGTTAGTGAGAGGAAGGATGCAAGACTGGTGCCTTTCCACCTGCGCCTGCCCTGGCTCTGCTGGGCAAACAGCAGGGATCAGTGGTGATTGTTGCCATGGGATGATGTGTAGGCTTGATGCGTGCTTTTATATAAATCCTTTCCAGTGTTTAGTTTGGGCTCGTTGGAAATACAGACACAGTTTTGCTTTATGACTGATTTTTACTTAAACATAAAATCCAGGCACGAGTAGAAAATTTACAGGGTGTGCAGTACCGAGGAGCAGCTTTACAGCATGCGACTTTGAATGTGTGGGCTTCTAATCCTGTTGCTTCAACAGGTTTGTAGCCCTTCAGCCCCTGGCACTTGGCTAGGGGCTGCTTTGGCAAAGTGTTGACCCAGGTGAAGGTCCACATCATCTTGAAGGGCAGCCCAAGGGCTGAGGGTGGTGATGCTGGCCAGCCAGCTAGGTGCTGCTCATGAGGGTAAGCACCCCCCATCACCTCTGTGGGTGCTGGAGCATAACTTGGAGTAATGCAGTACTTTGTTGTGCCTGAAAAGCCCAAGGCAACCCCTTGTTGGCAACAGAAACATCTCTTTGTGGCTTTCAGTGCTTCCCACTTGAGAGCCTGCCATGTGGTCTGCTCTCCTCAACTCATATGTTTTACCTGCGGTCCCAGGTTTGATGAGATTCTGCTTGTTTGCTGACTGCTTTGCACCTCTGCTGATCCTTTCCTTCACGTTACAGACCAAATACCTCTTGAGACAGAACTTAATTATCCAATACCATTGCTAATAAAGCTTATTCTTGATGCTGTCAACTGCTGGTGTCTGGAGTGATTTCTCTTGAAGACAGTACTGATGCATGAAGTTTTAGCTTGCATTTTTCCTTCTGATCATCCTTCTGTCCCAGCTTGGACTGTAAACTCTGAGAAATCACTGACAGGGGCCAGGTAAAGAAGCCCTGAGAGAATTGCCTGGTTATTCTAATTTAATATCTCCAAATGACCTGCAGGTAAGTGTGGAGAGCATGCTTACTGCATCTGCAGAGGGAAGCAAGCAAAAAGGGAGTATATTCTTTGTCTTTGATAGTATTCAGCTAAGTAAAGGTAGAGAAATAAAGGGAAGAAAAACAGTACAGGTTCAAATTGGGCAAGAATCAGGTCAGGATATAAGGCAGGGACCACTGGTGGAGTACAAGGATGTATGGTACAAGGATGGATGCTGAGAGGCAGGCATGAGTGTGGGGGTGATCCCTCTGCAAAACGGGATGGGTAATTTATAGGATGTTGCATATAAGAGCATATAACAGGGAAGTAATTACTGCCATGTACTGCCTGGGTGAAGATGCATCTGATGCATCTTCCCGCATGTAAGAAAATGCATAATGACGAGAAACAGTAGTTGCAAGGCAGAATGAAATATGCTGTATCTTGTATGTGTTAGTTGAAATGCAGTGACAGTTTATTTCTTGATGGTTTTAAATAATGTATCTTTGGTAAGGAATGCAGCCACTGACCCCAGTTTCCAGTTCAGGAACGATGCATGCTCCATGCTCTGCACCAGAATCAAGGTGGGGCAGCCAGCAGAAATGCTGTGGGGGTCAAAACCTACTTCATGGTATTTAGCTAGGAGTTTACATTTTTCCTTCTAGGTCTCGATGAGCTTTACAAGAGGGAGTTGCTCCCCAGGTCTTTCTTTGGACCAGAGACACTTGAGATCCAGAAGAAGACCTCAGCTATGCGAAGGGCTGGGAGCTGAGCTGGGTCCATTGATCTTCATCACCTATCCACATTGCCAGGTTTTATTGATTTAACTAACACCATCCCCTCACCTGTTTAAGACAGCCTAGCAGGGTTGTTAATGTTTGCACCATCTTTCGGCCAAGCAAAATGCATTGTGAGGTGCCTGGCAGAGGAAGGACCATGTACTCTTTGCAGGGCTTGGCCTTGTCTCACCAGTGGGTATAAAAGGATGCAGGCATTTGCAAAATTCATGAGGGTGGGCCCACAGAGTAAAACTAAATAAAAGATGGTCATGAATCCCTGCATGGTGCCAAGTGGCAGAGTTGCCATTTGCCCAGTGTTTGAGGCCAGCACCACTGGCAAAACAAGCCAAAGGATGGAGAGCCCCTGCGCTCTCCCAGCTCTGGAGAGTTGGCAGCCTGGCATGGTGAGGATGCTGCTTCTGCCCCATGTTGGGTTCTCCAATGGGCTTTGTTGTTAAATCCAGTTGGTGGAGGGGAGACAAAAGCTGTGAACTGGCAAAGCAGCACCGGCAAGACAGGAGGGCATGGGGAGCAGGAGGTGGTTGGATGAAAGGGCAGAAACCAGAGGAGATGCATCTGTTGTAGATTCTGCTCGAAGGAGGCTAAGTGAGCATATGCCCAGCCTTTTCTTTTTGTCCTCTCTCTCAGCTTAGTGGTGCAGCTAGTCCTCCCTCTTCTGGAGCTGAAGTATTTAAGTGTAGGTATTTGGCCTTTAAAGCCAACAAACAAACACTCTAGGAGGTAGGAAACTGTTGTTACAGAGTGATTCTCATCTCCTGTCAGCTTCAAGTGACTTTCCTTCTTTCTCTCTGATCTCCAAAGCCTTTCTAGCCTGTGCCCACTCAGTGGAGTACCCCATAGGGTAGAAATGCTGCCACCTCTCCATCTGTGATACCAGCCTTTGCATCACAGAGGTTTTGGCATAGCACTATTACCCTTGGGAGGGGGAAGCATCATTAAAACAACCTCATTATCCTTCAGCATCACCCTGGTGATGACCAGAGAAGCTCTGCTGCCTCTCAGCAGCTCCATTGTGTGTGTTTTGGGGCAGCAATCACCCTTGCAGTGTTTTGCTATGATGCATTGCAGGTCTAGAGAGCTGGAGTGGGATTGCCTTGGTGGCTTGACTGTGGGAGCAAGGGCTGTTATAGTGGTGGTACTTGGTACCAGGAAGGGTATCTGCACAGAGCATCCCTGCACATCTGCTTCTGTGCCTGTCCCTGGCATTCCAACGAAACTCCTAATGAGCTCTGATGGGCCCATGGCCAGCCAGGAGCCAGCCTGCATGACCTTGTTCTTGTTTACCACCCTGTGACAGCTTCATTTCTATGGGCAGCAGGGTCCCTGAGCAATATCCTGTTCTGCATGGCAGTTTGGGTAGCATGCGAAGAGCCTTCACCCCATCACAGATGAGGTGATGTTCTCTGATACCTCTGCTGAGGGCTTAGGGAGGGCCACAGTACACAGCAAAGGAGCCAAGCTGATCCTGCCCCTTCATAGGTGCCCCAGAGAAAAACCTCAGCTTTGAAACCTCACCAGCCAGCTGCAGGCTTGCCCGGCTGCTGTTCTCATTTTACATGTTTTATGGAGTAATTTGTACTATATTTACACAACGGTGATAAACAGTTTTTAAAATGGAAGCGAAGAAAACGCTGTTGAATGAATTGTTACAAAAAAGCCCCATTTGCCATTCCAGCAGGGGGAAAAAAAGGGATAAAAATCACTATCCTAGGGACATGCTGTTCGTCAGATCTGGGTATTTTTTCCCTTGATTTGTGTGCCTAATGTGAGAAGAAGAAGTCGCAGATGCATGCTGAATTCTGCGGGGAACATATGCATGCATTTAAATCATTTACAGCATTTACTGGTGCAATTGTAAAGCACGTTATTTTTCTGCATTTGTAATTAGGCTCTAAACAGATGGTGAAGGACTGTAGCTTCTGATTAGACAGGCTTGTGCTCTGTTGGACGGCACTGTGAGAACAAACTGAGAAGAGAAAGTTTTCCTTCTCATTTATCATACCATGGAGTGTGGGGGGTAGAGTATCTGGGGCTGGCTGAGTGCAAACTCCAGTGTGCCTGTAGCAGGCTGGGCAAAGCTGAGCAAGCCGGCGGGTCTGCTCCCTTTGCCATACAGTTTGCTGATGCATGGGGTGCACACACACACACACACACACACACACCCCTCCAGCTCAGCTTTGCTTCCAGATTTTGTAGCCCCCTCTCATTCTGTGCTGCATAGCTTCGGCTATCCAACAGCGCGTGTTGCAGTGTCTCCTTTGACAAATGATTTTAATATGAAGCAGAAAGCTTGGGTTTGAGAAGGACCTTTAAAGCAGGAGCAAGTGCCAGGCTTGCGGCTGTGTACGAGGAGCCAGCATGTGTGCCTGGTGTTAGCTCTGCTCTTCAGCACTGCCTTTTTTCTGCTACGCTGGCAAGCTCTCAGCTTGGTGAGATAGGTAGGGCTTTACTGCACCTCTAGTGGGGCAACCTCAGGAGCTTTGACAGCAATGTGTGGTTGG